GCACTCTACCCAGGGGGATAGCTTGAGGCTCCGTCTAAAAAAAAAAAAAAAAAAGAATTTCTCGTTAACTTTTTTCAAAAATCTGTATCATTTCATTTTAAGAGCTTAAAATTTTTATTTTGTTTATATCAGTAAATACTTTAAAAATAATTTTTGTGATTTTTTTTTAACATAGAGGAAAATATTTGGATTTACATTAATTATAAATAGTCCAAATTAAGTTCAGTAATTATTCTATAAATTTGATATATTTTATAATTTGTAGCCTTCAGAAGGTTTACATTAGGCCTTTTTTTTATATATCCCCTCAGGAAATTTTAATCAATGTGAAAAAAATTGTTATTGTTTTTACTGTAGTGCTGAGAAAGTACAAGAAATTATTACTTGGCTAAAAGGACATCCTGTCAGTACTTTATCTCGTTCTTCTTGTGATTTACAAATTCTGGATGCAGCTATTGTTGAGAAAATTGAGGAAGAAGTTGAAAAGTGCAAGGTACTAACTTTAATAACCAAGATTATTGATGAGATTTAAAGTTAAATGGACTGTATTATTACTTTACAAGTAATTTGTTTCAACCAAATAAAAACTTATACTCAGTGATTCTAATTAGTGTCAAACAATCTTATAATTTTAGAAAGTACTTTGAACCATTTCTAGTGGCCATTAGTAAATTAATCTGAATAAACATAACACTTTAACATACAGAAGTCATAGCATTTAAATTTTATCTTTATAGTATTTCTGATTTTAAGAATTAATATTTTATTAGTCTAGTCACAATAGAAAGTTTGATTGAGAATAAGGTTAATCCCCTATTTCTTTTCTGGTTATTCCTTTAAGACACAGTTCATTTTTTTCATAGAACATACTTTTTGTTTCACTTTGTCACCCTCGGTAGAATGCCGTGGCATCACCGTTCACACCAACCTCCAGCTCTTAGGCTAGGGCAATTCTCTTGCCTCAGCCTCCCAAGTTGCTGGGACTACAAGCACCTGCTGCAACACCTGGCTATTTTTGTTGCAGTTGCCACTGCTGTTTTAGCTGGCTGGGCCTGGGTTCAAACCCATTACCCTTGGTATTTGGGCCGGTGCCCTACCTACTGAGCCACAGGCACCACCCTACAGAATTATTTCTAAAATGTACTTTTCTTATTCAAATACTCATTCAATTATTGAGAATTTTTGAAATCCCACTTAATTTCACCTATTTTTTTTTAATATCTTGCTTTTTAAAAGCAATAAACTTCTGTAGTAGATTTGTCTGTTTTATCTGTTTTGATCCTCTGTCTTGGTTCAATAGAAAGTATATTGAGGCTCAGCACCTGTGGCTCAAGTGGCTAAGGTGCCAGCCACATACACCTAAGGTGGTGGGTTCAAATCCAGCCCAGGCCCACCAAACAACAATGGTGGCTGCAGCCAAAAAATAGCCGGGCATTGTGGCAGGCGCCTGTGGTCCCAGCTACTTGGGAGGCTGAGGCAGGAGACTTGCTTGAGCCCAGGAGTTGGAGGTTGCTGTGAGCTGTGATGCCACAGCACTCTACCCAGGGGGACAGCTTGAGGTTCTGTCTCAAAAAGAAAAAGAAAGAAAGTATATTGATAGTATTGATTATTTTTAATTTTTGATTTTATTTCTTACAAATTTGCCTTTTTATTTGAATGATATTCCTTCACTAGCCACTAGCATAACCTTCTCTTGTTTGAACTAATGGTAGAGTAAGTTAAAAACTGGACTCAGGGGGCATTGCCTGTGGCTCAGAGGAGTAGGGCGCTGGCCCCATATTCCAGAGGTGGCAGGTTCAAACATGACCCCAGCCAAAAAAAAAAAAAAAGAAGAAGAAGAAAAAAGAAAAAACTGCACCCACATACCATCTCCTGAGTTCGAGTTCCTCCTTCAATACTTACATCCTTAGGCAAAATATTTAATTTTTGAATACCTGGTTTCCTCAATGGTAAAATGGGGATAAAATGGTATCTACCACATAAGGTCATCAAGAAGATCAATTGAGTTAATACATAGTACATGTAACCTTCCTCTAATACTAGTATTATTAATGCCTAATAATGCTTAGCTATTAATATTAATTATTTAAATTATTTTATCACATACTGAAGAACAGTGATTATAGTCTAGAAAATACTAAATGACTTTTTCCTTAGGGAAAAATATATAGCTCATGGGCAAGAGTTTGATTTTGGAAAGGTCATTGATATGCGGCTGAGGATAGAAAGCCCATATTTCTTTTTACTGGTCTTTCAAAGTAGAGTGAAATCTGTTTGGTTTGGTTTTTGAAGTAAGTTAACAAACATGGCTTTAAGCTTTCAAATTTTAACCCATTCTTCCTTTACAAACATGATACACATATAAAGTTGTAATCTGTTGTGAGTATGGCATTTTTAATATCTGTATATAATACAGTATTTTTTTTAAACCTGTTAAGGTATCAAGAATTTGCAGTTCTGAATTACTTTTTCTTACCCTTTAGTGTTATTATGTTATGAGGGTAATAAATAAAAAGAAAAGAAAAACTAAAAATAGACACAACTTCCTGAAGATGATTTAAACTTTTCTTTGCAGTACAGAGTCATCATTAAAAGTATCAGTAGTTTTCTACTGAACGTGGTTTCCAAACTCAGCTAATTATTAAAATTATTAGGGAAGCTTTTAAAAAAAAAATACATTCTGTGTTCCACCTCTAGAACGCTGCTTCTCCAACTTTAAGGTACATAATAGTCATTAGGGAATCTTGCTAAAATATTAGTTCTGATGGAGTAAATTTAAGATGAAGCCTAAGATTCAGCATTTCTAACAAGCTCACAGGTGACCACATTCTGAGTTGCCAGTCTCCAAACAACTCATATGTTAGGCATGATTAGAAACTATTTTGAAAATTACTCAGCTTATTCATTTTTCTAAAGGATCAATTTAGATAGCTATTATGTTCTCTAATCAGTGCTATAGTGTAACATGCCTAAGGATCTCCTAGAGCATATGGGTCATTTGTGAGGCAGTACTACAGGCACAGTTCTACTTTTTAAAGTTTTTTTATCTCTTCTCATATTTTTTCTTTTTGCTGTTATTAGTGGGCACCAATTGTACTCTATTAGTTTATCTGATCTGCTGTGGACTGGGCACATGGACACCTTGTTAATAAGGCCTTCACTATTCACCCTATTCAAACTGCAGTATCTCCCCATACTGCTATCCTCCTTACCTGCTTTATTTTTCTCTACGCTTTTTATCTTCAACCATGCTATTTATTTCCCTAATTTTCTTTCTTGTGTATCTTCCTCAGTTGCAATAAAAGAACAGTACACTACTTTATCCCCAGCACCTAGATCAATCAATACATAGCACATAAACGAAACTTATTTATGAAAAGATTAAATGAAATGTCTTATAACAAAAGGAAAGATGCTATTTAAAAGCTTGAGCATTTTATAGTATATAAATGAATGAACCATAGCTTATGAACTCTACAGTTTGGGATTGTTTGGGGTCCTTTTGTATTTATTCCCATAAAGCTATATTCTAAAGATAGGTGGCTGCCATATATTTAAGTCTGCTCCAATTTTTCTTACTAGGTGAGAATTCACTTTAAAAAATTTAATAGGAATAGTAGTTTATGGTTAATTATGGATGTAAATTATTCTCACGTTTTTGTAAGATAAAACAGGTAATATTATTTCCATCTTGCAGATGGAAGGCAGCTAATTTAGCTAAGTACATTTTCACAGAACTAATAAGTAGCAAAGAAAGATTAAAGCTCTTCTTTGAGCATTTAAGTATAAACCTTTATTGACCATTGTATGTAATTCTTTTTAGAAAAAACATTTGAATAGGGCACATTTATAAAAAGTTTAAAATAGATTAATCTTCTGTGTTAGAAATAAAGTTACCTTTGGAAAGACTAGTAACTGGAAGAAGTAGGAAGACTTTCTCACATTGTGCTTAGTAATGTTTCTTGAACTTATATATTGTTATACATAAATGATTTATAAAGATTCATCAGGCTGCTGAATTTACCATGTTTATAATTTTGCATTTTTCCATATGTTGTATACATCTCCCAAAAAAAATTACCTTAAAAAGTTTTTAAGCTGGATGTAGTGGTTCACACTTATGGGAGGCACTCTACGAGGCCAAGGCAAGTAGATTGCTTGAACTCAGGAGTTCGAGACCAGCTTGAGCAAGAGTGAAACCCCATTTCTACTAAAAATAGAAAGTCCTACCCCAGGGTGGCACCTATGGCTCAGTGAGTAGGGCGCCAGCCCCATATATCACGGGTGGCGGGTTCAAACCCAGCCCTTGCCAAACTGCAACCAAACAGTAGCCAGGTGCTGTGGCGGGCGCCTGTAGTCCCAGCTACTCCGGAGGCTGAGGCAAGAGAATCACTTAAGCCCAGGAGTTGCTGAGAGCTGTCTGATGCCACGGCACTCTACCAAGGGCAATAAAGGGAGACTCTGTATCTACAAAAAAAAAAAAAGAAAGAAAGAAAGAAAAGAAAAAGGAAGAATTAGCCCAGCCTCATGGCAGACACCTGTAATCCCAGCTACTTGAAGACTGAGGAAAGAGGATTGCTTGAGTCTAAGAGTTTGAGGTTACCGTGAGCTATGATGACACCACGGCACTCTAGCCTGGGCTACAGAGTGAGACTCCACCTCAATAAAAACAGTTTTAAATAAGAATTTAGGTGGCAGGCATTTTATAAATATTTATTTTATTCCTCTGCAGTTAACCCTTAAAGTTAATTATTTAATTAGGCTTTCTTAAATTCAGACACGTTGAAATAGCAAATAATGTAATGATTTTATATAAATTTTACATTTTAAAAATAATTCTTTTAAAAAATTCTTAATTTTTCTTTTTTACTCAAGCAAAGAAAGAATAATAAGAAGGTACGAGTAACTGTGAAGCCTCATTTGCTGTACAGAGTAAGTTTCCTATCGAAGAATTCAGAGTTGCTTTTATTAACATTTGAAAGTATGAAAAAAACAAAAATGTTTTCAATATATTAGTAGGAAAACCTTTTTCAAAAATAGAGTTAATATCTTTCTTCTCTTCAGCCTTTAGAACAGCAACATGGAGTCATTCCTGATCGGGATGCAGAATTTCGTCTCTTCGATCGTGTTGTAAATGTGAGAGAGAACTTCTCAGTTCCAGTTGGCCTTCGGGGCACCATCATAGGAATTAAAGGAGGTAATACCTCAATACTTGACATATCTTCAAGTAAATTTATGCAAAAATTTATGGCTTTTATAAGTATAAGCAGAAAGTAATTATAAATCAGGAAAAAACTAAATCTGTCTACATTTTAGTTATTTTTTTAGGTTGTACTTTTCAGAGAAAAGTCTTTATAATCATGTAGGCAGCAATAAAAGAAGGAGAAGTTGGAAGGGGCTGCTGAGAATTTGGTAGTTTATTATATCACATTAAAATTATACAAGATCTTGGTAGGTATACATATACAACATTTTTATCACTTCTTAGACTTTTATATAATTTGGCTCAGAATTTTACCTTTATTTTCATGGTAATCTCTTCGTTTCTGTGAAGAAACAAACAAACATTATGTTATTTATAGTTAAAAGATTGAAAAATTAAATGCGTATTAATTTGAATTTTATAAACATAACTAGATTTATATATAAAACAAACCTATCAATCAATCTGTTGCACAATAATGTGCATATAGTTAATATGCTCTGTTGTATACTTAAAAATAGCTAAGATAGTAAATTTTATGTGTTTTTCACCACAATTAAAAAAAAATGAAAGAGGGGAGAAAAAAGAGAAGAGGCCATAAACAGTCTGTGTTCCAAAGAGATAACTAGAATGATTAGTTTTATAGCATAGATTCTAAAGATCAACCTCAGCATGAAGCATCATTAACCTTTTGGTCTCACCCTCCAGAAAGGAGGAAGAACTGACAGTCTATGAGCCTAAGAAAACTGGATATTTAGTGCCAACAAGGTGCAAGGCACACGAACATTTTGTATTTAACCCTCACAACCACTTAAGAGGTAGATGTTACATCCATTTCCTCACCTGTGGCCCATGTTTACATAGATTTGAACTCTTTCCCCTAATTCCTGCCTAACTTTGTCTTTTCTTTCTTTCTTTTTTTTTTTTTTGTTTTGAGATAGAGTATCACTTTCACCCTTGGTAGAGTGCTGTGGCATCATAGCGCACAGCAACCTCAAACTTTTGGGTGCAAGCGATGTTCTTGCCTCAGCCTCCCAAAGTAGCTGGGACTACAGACACCTGCCCCCAATGCCCGACTCTTCTTTTCAAAGACAGAGTCTCACTCTTGCTCAAGCTGGTCTCAAACCTATGAGCTCAGGCAATCCACCTCCTCAGCCTACCAGAGTGCTAGGATTACAGACATGAGCCATTGCACCCAGCCCCCTACCTAATATTGAATAGTAGTTGTGGACATTTTCCATCTGCAGAACTTCTTCAGGTTTTTCCAGCCCAGCCTACCTCTAAAAGAGAAATTTCTTCCCTGAGTTTTTAAAAATGTTTTAGATATATTTCCAGATATAGGAAATGGATTAAGGAGGATCAAGCTCTGGGGCTAGGCCTAGTAAGTTAGATAGATGGGTGTAATGAAGCAAACTTCCTGCTGCCTCTGCTCTTCAGATACTGAGTTTATTGGTGGTATTTTAATCAGATTATCCTGATAAAGCCTTAAGACTTAAGTAATAGAAGTTTCTTTTCTTCTAATGACTCTTATCAGTAGTAATGGCCTCTTGGCATCTTGCCTTAATAAGGATTTTAAGACTACACATATTCCAACTCAAAAAGATCTCTGTCATTTATTAAACTTTGTCTGCCATGGACATGGAATGGAAAGGGAAATATCATTTTCACCCTCAACTGAGACTTCATTTCCAATGAGTTTTCCCCTAAAGTGTGTGAATATTCCTCTTACCAATAACCTTTTGAGGAAGTGGGCCTCCTCCAGGCAGAAAATGGGAACCTAAAAGGTGTGCCTTAAGCCTACAGAAGAGAAATACCTGCCTTTCATTGAGCCTCACTTTCATGGGATTCAGTGTTAGGTATGTCACATGGAAGCTGGGCATGGTGGTTCATATCTGTAATCTTAGCACTGTGGGAGGCTGAGGCTGGAGGATCACTTGAGGTCAGGAGTTCAAGACCAGCCAGAGCAAAAGTGAGACCCCTGTGTCTTAAAGAAAAAAAAAAGAAAAGAAAAATAAAAAAGTGTAGTGGTGTGCACCTGTAGTCCCAGCTACTGAGTAAGATCATGGAAGAAGATTGCTTAAGCCCAAGAGCTTGAAGTTACAGTGAGCTATGAACAGAGTGTTCTGGTCTCAAAATAAGTAAAGTCACATTGAAAGGTACAGCTAAGCTAGATGGTGCAAGATGGATGCACTTTGCAGACTTGGTTTTAACTGGGCAATTGGAGACTGGGGATGGAGGAGGCAGTCCCTAACCCCCAAAAGTGGTTAGCTTAGTATCAAATATTGTATAATCAGAGTTCTCCAGAGAATGGAGAATGGAAAGAGAAAGAATAATTGATTGATTTTAAAGAATTAACTTACATGATGGTGGGTACTGGCAACTCCAAAATCTGCGGGGCAGTCTGGCAGACTGGAAATTCCATCAAGAGTTGATGTAGCCTTAAGTCCAAAGCAATCAGGAAGCAGAATTTCTTCCTTTTGGGGGTCCTCAGATTAGATGAGACCCACACACATTATGGAGGATAATCTGTTTTACTCAGAGTGTACTGATTTAAATGTTAATCACATTTTAAAAATACCTTCACAGGAACATGTAATGAGTGTTTGACCAAGCAACTGGACACCATAGCCTGACCAAATTGACACATAAAATTAACATTATGAACATTTAGACATGTGTCTCCCAAATTATACAACCATCCATGAGATGGTTTTAAATGGGACAGGGGGTAGTTCATTAAATAATATTAATCATAGAGCAATTCGTTCATATTCTACTTTATTTTAAGAAGAAAGACCCCGGCTCAGCGCCTATAGCTCAACCGGCTAAGGCGCCAGCCACATACACCTAAGGTGGCGGGTTCGAATCCCCAGCCCGGACCTGCCAAACAACAATGACGGCTGCAACCAAAAAATAGCTGGGCGTTGTAGTGGGCGCCTGTGGTCCCAGCTACTTGGGAGGCTGAGGCAGGAGACTCGCTTGAGCCCAGGAGTTGGAGGTTGCTGTGAGCTGTAATGCCACGGCACTCTGCCCAGGGGGACAGCTTGAGGCTCTGTCTCAAAAAAAAAAAAAGAAGAAAGACCCCATTTGACATGAGACCCTAAGACTTCTCTAACACTTATTGTAACAGAAAAAAAGCAAAGCCAGAATTCAACTATAACTTAATCACTGTTTTGTTTTCATCAAATTTATTTTCACAGTGACCTTCCATTTATGGTAATGACAGATGTTTCTTTTTTAGATATATGTATTTAAATAAACAAAAGGAGTCCACTTAAAGTTTAAAAAAAAACAGACCTATCAGAGAAATCACCCCAGTTGGGTTGCTCTTGTTAGGTTAAAAAATGTCTCTATCGCTCTTTTTGCTGCTTGGCTGCCACATCATGGGTCACATGCATGTTCCCAGGAAGGGCCTGTCCCAGTCAGCTTTGCCCTATTGCTGCAGCATTCCCACTTGGCTGAAGTTAACGTCTGATGACGTGAAGGAGCAGATTTACAAACTGGCTAAGAAGAGCCTGACTCCCTCACAGGTCGGTGTGATCCTGAGAGACTCACATGATGTTGCTCAAGTACATTTTGTGACAGGCAATAAAATCTTGAGAATCCTTAAGTCTAAAGGACTTGCTCCTGATCTTCCTGAGGATCTCTATGATTTAATTAAGAAAGCGGTTGCTATTCGAAAGCATCTTGAGAGGAATAGAAAGGATAAGGATGCTAAATTCCATCTGATTCTGATAGAGAGCCAAATTCATCGATTGGCTCGGTATTACAAGACCAAGCGAGTTCTTCCTCCCAATTGGAAATATGAGTCATCCACAGCCTCTGCCCTGGTTGCATAAATTTGTCTATGAATTCAAACAATAAAATCATTCTCTAACTAAAAAATAAAAAAGTCTCTATCTTTATAAAAACTCTCAAAAATAGAAATACTGTCAGTGGCAGCAACTGTGTTTCAGTGAGTAGGGCGCCAGCCCCATATACCAAGGGTGGCGGGTTCAAACTCAGCCCCGGCCAAAGAGCAACAAAAAATAGCCAGGCAATGTGGCTGGCACTTGTAGTCCCAGCTACTCGGGAGGCTGAGGCAAGAGAAACACCTACACTCAAGAGCTGGAGGTTGCTGTGAGCTGTGATGCCCCCACGGTAGTCTACCCAGGGTGACAAAGTAAGACTCTGTGTCTTAAAAAAAAACCAAAAGAAAGAAATAGTGTCAGTATTTAGATACTCTAACTAAGTGTGTTGTTTATATGTCACATGGAAAGAAAGGCAAATAAGAATAAATAGCCCTCTAAGAGTAGAATGTGAACATTTTAAAATAAAAACAAAGAAAATGACAAAAAAAAGAATAAATGGCTCTAATTACAAATTATAGACCATTTTTAATAAAAATATTCAATAGTCGTTAAGGACATAGAACAATGAAAACTCTCATTAACACTTACAGTACTCCTGGTAAAGTAAAAACTTATAAAGCTACTAGGACTAATAAGTAAGTTTTGCAAAGTTACAGGATATAACATCAATATGCAGAAATTAATCGTGTTTCTATATATTATCAATGAACAGTCAAAAATTGAAATTTTATAAAATGCTACTTATAATGTCTGCTCCGTGCATTTACCATGATATAGCATCAAGAAGTAGTAATTACTTAGGAATAAATTTGACATAAGATCTACATCATAAAAATGAATGCTTCCAAGCAAAAACTTACATGCTGAATTTTCATCGTACAACTTTTTTAGTGTCTCTCTCTCTCTTTCCCTCTTACTCTTTCTCTCTCTAAACAGCTAATAGAGAAGCTGATGTACTATTTGAAGTATTATTTGATGAAGAATTTCCTGGAGGCCTAACAATAAGGTTTGTATTTCCAGATGATAATTGCACTTTGTGAATATGTCCCTGTGGCTAATGCCTTTACATTACTTGTTTATTTGTCCACAGTTTGAATTCATAGGATGTGCAAATATTTTACTTGGAGTGATGCTAAGGATATTACACTCAATAAGACAGATATGCTTTCTACCCTCATAGAGCTTCATTTTAGAGAGATATAGTATTATCTAATTGAAATGTGACAGATGCTGGAAAGAATTGCATATTTCTATAAAGAATATGACTTGTCCTGAGAGTTCCAGAAAGACTTCCTTGAGGAAGGAATATATTAGATGGGACTTGGAGAATGAATAATAATTGACTGGGTGAAGAGGAAGACATAGTGACAAGTGTTCATAAGAAGGAATAGCATATGCAGCAAAGGACATTTATAGTTAAATAACTTGAGGAATAGAAGCATCCTTTGAATTTAGTGACATATCAGTGTTTTTCACTAGTTTAAGTAGAATTGTGGGTACTCAAGCAGGATAGGCATGGTTTAGGGAGTGAATGGCAGTTGTAGTAATGGAGGCATGAAATTGAGATGACCCATAAGAAGTTATACTATGAAGGGAAGAAAAGATAATTGAAAGTTGGGTTTAAAGGAAGAGGGTTAGATTACTTTTAATTTAACATGAGTGAGACTTGTGTATCTTTTTTTTTTTTTTTTTTTTT